AAGACAGTTTAGAGAAGTGTTAAGCGCAAATTCAAACACGATTTTTTATAACAGAAGATGGTAAATGGTTTTAAAATACTATACAATTAATATAAACATTTTTATCTCCAGAAAGAAAAAAGAATACACTTTTCCATGTTAGATCATGATTGATTTTTAAAATACTATAGAAATAGAAATAATAGAATTGTGTCGTCATATACAAAACTGGTCTTCATATATAAATATTCAAAAATAATTGCCATCAATTTTATAGCTTTTCCCATTACTGCATTTAGACTACTTGGAGACTACTTGGAGACTACTTGATTGGAGACTACTTTAGAAGGTCAGTTACTACACCTCACAGCTAATAGCAACTTAAGTTTTATTAGAGAATACAACAATAGCGGACCCTTTGAATTTTATACGGTAATACAACAATAGTCCGAAGTAAATCTACATAGCCAGTTAGAGTCTATATATATAATTTATATACAAAATCACTAAGATCCCTAAACCAGAATGAAATAAAATTAAAATTTCTAATATAAATAAAACTCCAGTTTGTTTGACAATCTGTATGAATATAATTATATGTATTAGTTTTTTTTGTTAGTAATTTTAATCAACAGATATCATCTAAATAAACATTCATTTATTTGATATCTTTTGATTTTTTTCACTATTATTTTTGTTTTATTTGCTTTAATTCAAGCTAAGAGAAAATATTGCATAACAATCAATAAATATGAAATAAAAATGAAATTGTCGATAATTACATTTGAATTGCAACAGCGAAATCCAAAACCGACAGTTCCACATTCCAATACTCAAATGCACAACTCAACTACTCCTCACATTATTTATAACATCTTTAGATAAACGGCAAAAAGTATTCAATGCATATAGCAAGTAGTCAGTATACGTATAAACTGATGAGGAGAGCAGATCGCAATGAGCTGCAACTGTTTTAATGCGTTCATCAAACTTTAATATCAGCAAGAAATTATAACAATCAACAGTCCAGACATAAAATAAACCATGTAAATTCCGTATTACCGAGAAAATAATACGCAACATACGGTATGCCGCATTCGGCATTCGGCAGTCGGTAGTGGAACTGCAGAAATGTCAATATGTAAAGACATTTGCAGAATTGTATCTTTCCCCCGAAGGGCTTTTCTAATTGCAATCCCCTACTCAAGCGCAACAACAGTCATGCATAGATAAAAACATATTCATTCAAATAAATAAATATACCTCACATGATGCCAGATACATAAGTATATAGATATATTTATATACATATAAACAACCATTAGTATATAAACAAACGTACGAATACGAATACGAATAGTTGGATGTATGGTTGGTTATAAACAGAAGATATCATGGAGGGTAGGCAATACATTAAGAGATTGTTGAATATTCAGTCGTCTTAAAAAATAATTTGAATATAAAAAAGGGGAGCCAATGCCATTCTTATTGAAGAAATAACCGAGCTTAGAGTAGAGTAGAGACATGTGTTATGAATTTTACAATTTATGTGGATAAAAATTAAATTGAAATCAAAAATAAAATATGAATATGAATATGGTAATATAAAAGAGTTTCGAGAATAAAAATTTATGTAAATATGGTTTTTAGAATAAACATTCCACCACGAGCTGAAATTATTGCAACCACGTTTTTAAGTTTTCATTGCATTCATCGCATTTATGGGGGTTTTGTTTAAACAGTCAGAAATATTGTACATGCAATTTCCAAGCACTACTCTTCCGAACACTGCCTCCGCCAGGCGTTCATCTATAAATGGAATTTGCACATATTTCCCCAGTGCATCGTTTGCTTGATAAATTGGATGAGGTGACATTCATTCGAATTAGAAATATTTATTTTCAATGAAATTTAATTTTTTTTTTTTGTTTACTGAAGTCGTAAAAAATTACTTCTAAACCCATAAATGGATTGTTAAAAGTAATTCGATTTTATTTAATATATATTAAAATATAAAAGCTGAAAATTTATATATTTATGAAAAAGAAGTTTTCTAAATAAGCTCTATTTTTTAATAAACTATATGAAACAAACTGTAAAATGACTTAAGACACCTTTCTGAAGAGTATTAGTTTATTTAAAGAGATTTAAGAGATAGTTGTTTCATAATTTAATGTTCAGGCCTTTAGTCCCCAGTTAGCCGACCGCGACTCTATCATCCTCATGAGCCTACATATGTCCACCTCAGTGGATATATTGCCCATGCCCGCAATACACTCAGTGTATACTCAGTCAGTGTATACTAACACATCTACCCAGGTGTATCAAATTAGAAAGTAAAGGAACTCCAGAGTCAATACTAATCAAATTTTTTGGATATAATTGATATATTTTAAAAACAATAACAATTTAGTAGAGAATTACTTTGGGGAAATTAATAAAAGATTTTGAAGAAGTATTCTGAACAATTAATTATTCTTAAGTTTTAAAATTTAAATTCAATGTTTAAAATTGATCGTCGAATACTGGCAACTGCGATAGCCAGAAAATGTTGTTTTATTGTCGATTATGATGATTACTACATTTGCAGAAATTGTGAGAGATCAGATATTGAATATGATATCGGTGAGGGCATGATTTTGAAAGAATTGGAAGAAAAGAGTTTGATATAAAATACGATTGCTTTGTAAAGTAGATACAATGGACGATAAAATAGTACATGTTATTGAAAAGAGAGAAAATAAATAATGTATTTGTGTTTTAAGAAACATAAGATGTCTTTTGGAAATATACATTAACAAACTTTTAGAATTAATAGAGAGGTGAGGGTTTGATTTTGGAAGATTTAAAAAAAGTTGATATAAAATGAGGTTGTTTTGTAAAGTAGATACAATAGAGACTGAAGATAACACAGCATGCTATTAAGAAAGAAGAAAATAATATATTTGTGTTTTAAAGAATATACAATATATTTTAAGCTTCGAACATTAATAGGCAGCAATTTAGTTCAGATAGTAATAAAAGACAGAAAGTAACAATAGTTTAATAAATATAAATAATAGAATATTTTGTTTATTATTAAAAATATTTGGTCATTAAAAGAGTAAATTATTATAAGAAATAATAGAAAGAAATAAAGTGTAGATGGATTGTTATAAGATCGAAAAACAATATAAAACATCGCAAAAGTGACACTACAATAGAAAACACATAAGAATAAAGCGAATAGAAGATATAAGAAATTATATATATAGAACATATATAGAAAGAAGCAATAGATTGATCATACGATCATACCATTCCACTGCAATGAATATCGCAGAGCGCTCTAGAAAACTGAAACCTTTCGAAACTAAAAGAAGAAGAGCAGTGCTGGAAGAATCACACTAATTATGACAGCAACAGAAATATCGATGAGAATAAATATAAATTAAAGGAGTATTTTTCAGCCAAGTGGTCTATATAAAAGTAGCATATATTATTTTTTATGGTCAGAATTTTTTCATAGTAATAATAGTAATAGTTTTGGAGAAAGAGAAGAGCTTGTATTTAATATCAGTGGCTAATAACGTGCTAATAACGTCTCATACTCTACATCTGAACTAAAAATGTGGAATAACTCACACTCTGTTTTTATTAACTCAATATATGATGGACAGAAGGGTGAAAAGTGGATTGAGAGAATAAAATTTGTATTTATCTGATAATGCTTTACAATATAAAAAGCACGTTTTTTAGAGTGATTTTATCTAAATACTATCAACACAATGGATATCCTGTTAGGTTAGGTTAGGTTGGATTGACAGCCCTACTTTACCTACGTTACAGTGTGTTAAGTTTTATCGATATTAAAGCATGGAAATAAAATTTATTCATTTTAAACTAACCGTAACGATATCTCATCGTTTCATAAGATACAACTAATTCCAGTACATAAAGTAACTCGAATGAATGTTAATAAAACAATGAAAGAAGCTATTATAAACATTTCTATCTTGTAAAAAGATAGTACCCCAAAAAAAAAAAAGATTGTATAATGCTATATACAGCGATTTAAGGGGAAGACTAGAGCAGCAGAATGACAATGAAGAGAGGTCGCGGAGAGGTTATTGGTCTACCTCTTCATGCTCTTCATGCTAAGAAAAATTTTAGCAGTCAGAAGAAGTGGTCGAGATATTACTGGTCTACCTCTTCATGCTAAGAACAATTTTTGCAATGGGGTGAAGTGTTTGGAAAATTACTGATCTACCTCTTTATGCTGACAGAGATTTTGGCAATATAGAGAAGTACTTGAGAGATTACTCGTTTAACCCTTTATGCTTAGAGATTTTGTTCTGTAAGTGGACATTAATATTGGAACATATTAAGTGGACTTTTCGTTTCATACAAAAGCTAGATTTCCGCAAAATAATATTTTATTGTAAATTATTCGAATTTAGAATTTTCAAATCGTATAAATTCGGAACCTACGTAAATTACTCACATTTTTTGATCAAACCCAGTAACATATTGTATAGAATATATCTGAGAGATTTCTTTATGTGGTTAAATAGGGTTACTGATCTACTTAGACCTCTATTGACTTATTATATGATATTTATTATATGATATATGATATTAACTACATTATAATGAAGTACTTGAAGTACTTAAAGTACACTTTTACCCTTTCCGAAATAATTGAGATCTGATAATCCAGATATATCCTTATTAATAATTGTCGGAATATGTCTATAAGACTTATTTCTTAAAAAAATTGTATTGTATTGTATAAAATATATCTGACAGATATCTTTATGGGGTTAGATAGGGTTGCAAATATTGCAGTTACAGATCTACTAAGACCTCTGTTGGCCTACTATATGATATTTCTTTATTAACTACATTATAATGAAGTACTTAAAGTACACTTTTACCCTTTCCATAATAATTGAGGTTGGATAACCCAGATATATCCTCAATAATCATTTTCGGAATATTTCTATAAGACTTATTTATTTATAAAAATTATATTTTTTTACCTTATAAACATCACCATAAGTGCCCGAGCCAATTTTTTGTAGGAGCTCGTACTCGTCTTGTGGATTACGTCTGGAAATATCCGAACTCAAGCGATTCGCGTTGTGATGAGCCATGTTCGCGTCTTTTGTGTTAGGAATTTCTTTGAAGAAGCGACAGAATTGCGTTTCAATTTAATTAGATTTTATTCAAATTCTCTTCCAAATGCAAATTTAAAATAAAAATAAAAACACGATCAGCTGCTTGCACTTAAAAAATATCGCCTCTGCTGCCGTTTTTTTTTCGCTGTTTATTTTTTGTAATTAAAAACGATTAGTGCAAATTTTTTATTATTGTGATTTCACATTTGTTGTTTTTGGCTTGCGTAATTCTACATAAATTTTTTTATTATTATTTTCAAAGTTGTTTTGTTGTTTTGTTTTTTACTTTGCTTCTTCTTTCCTTCTCACTTCACATTCACTTTGTTTTGTTATTAATGCCGAAGTAGAATTATACAGGCAAATATTTTATTAGCCACGTATAAATTAAATTTTATTTTTATTTTGGTGGCGGCCGAAAGCGCTGAAATAATTATTAACACAATTAAAAAAAAGAATGTTGCTGCGGCGCACACGGCAACAACAGCAACAACAAATTAATTACTAGAAAAATGCGTCACTTGCTTAAGCGTAGCAACAACAAAACCGTGTCTTTGTTAGAGGCAGCGAACAGCGGCAGCAAAAATACACAAGAAAACGCAATCGTCGCGTGAAAATGAGCAAGCACGTTGATGACACGACCGAGACGCCGCGACGGCAACAGCAGCAGCAGCGGCAGAAGCAGCAACGACAATGTCTATGACAATTTTTGCAGTATTTTGCGGTTTATGCCACTCTCTACCACCTGCTTGCTTTATTTATATTGAAAATTGCTTTTGTTTTTGGCCACTTTTTTACTTTGTTTTTTTTTTGCATTTAGTTTATACAAAAAAAAAAACAAATTCAAAGCGCAAAAAATTAACAACTGTACAGCGTTAGGGTTAAAATTTAATTTTTGTTATTTGTTTATGTTAATTTAATTCTAATCACGGCTTTTATTATTGTTACTGGCATTGTCGGTCAAGGCGAAAGGGGAGTTGGTTTTTGTTTAAGTAAATCAGACACGCCAACAAATCACATAAAAATTTCTCTTCTCTTTCTTCTTTGTGCATTAATTCTAATAAGAATAACACATGTTTTTACTAGATTTAGATTATTAGCTTTAATTTTGTGTGGTATATATATTTTATTATTTAATTTTAATTACTTAATGCACTTATATAAACTATATCCAAATAATTAATATATTTCTGCCCTTGCATACTTTACAAGACAAAAATTACACAAGGGCGAAGTCAATCAGTGTTTGTTGATGCTTTTTCTCACACAATTTACTTTCTTTTTTTCTCAAAATCACTTATGACAAATGAGCTCACTTTACACATTTTGCAATTATTCCCACATTTATTTAAAATTCTAATTATTTTTTTTTTTTAGCTATTTATTAGCTTTAATTTTATGGTTTTATATAAAATATAAACATTTAATTTTCTCCGTTTTCCACACATGCAGACAACAATCCAACTCGACTTTTTGACAGCAAATGAGAAATATCGTTCGCTGCTGCCATTTTGAAAATGTAGACTTTGCTGTGGAGATTTACAATATATGTAGAGTTACTTGTCAAATAAGGCACTCTCTTGATAACAGCTGTTTACATAGTTGCATTATTAATATAAATTTAAATTACATATAGGCCATGTGCGAGTTCGAGTAAATTGTTGATAAATTCAGGGAAATAGTATATTATATCGTTATGGCAGCGAATGTGGGTATTTACCAGTTTTTCGAGTAGGGTAAATTAGATAAAAATTAGTTAAATTAGGTCTTACTATTGTGAAAATGTTATAAGATGTTTAATAAAAGAGAAAATCTTGCATATATGCACATCATGCAAACAAATTATGTATTATATTATTACAAATAATATATATTGTACATTATATATATAATTTTTAAATTTTCTTTTACAACAAAAACAACAAAAGTTTGCACTATTTATGCCCTAATAAATATCAACTTGATAGCAACTAATAAGTTAAAAATTTTTTGAATATATTTACATGTATATTTTAGAAATATTTCATATCCATTTTGCATATTTTTAAAATATATATTTTCCACAATTTTGCATAAAAGGGTAAATACGCTTGGACAACCGAGAAATAATATAGCAAGGCAAGCTATGGTATGGAAACCAATGCCGTTTCATCATTATGTAATAACGTCTATGCTTCTACACCATACGTAAGCACAGATAGGATAAACGACCTTTATAGCAAAATTTTTGTCGGTCGAGAGAGAACTCTATAAGCTCAGTTACCAACTGAGCCCATAGCAAAACCTATTAGTTGATGCAGTGTTTGGAACTCATCACGTAAAACTAACAGCCAAGAGGAGACGTTAAGATGCCTTGAAAATTGAAACAGAATATTGACGATCCCCATAAACAAACAAAGGATCATTCTGACAGGGCACTTTATGTGAAATTTTTACCTTAGAAAACTGGGAGTTACTTTAATGAAACAGGCATATCTTAGAAGGAAGAGCGGGAGAAATTAAATTATGTATTAATAGTTTGTCCGGCGTCGATGCAAAACCTAGACATGCATTTTATATCAAATGTAGAAATCGAACTCGGTAAAATAGATTTAATAGTACAATTTATCCAACTTATAAAGATTCCCAGCTCTATAGCTTTAAAACAAAAAATGATGTTTCTATTTAACAAATATAAATGACATCTACGCCATCTACTGTCAAGAACTCTAAATAACCACCAATTCATTAAAAAGCAATAAAAAATTTCTTAAAATTTTATCCATTTCCATTTTATTTAACAAAATTTATTTGTTCGTTTTGCTTTTAATTTTTTTTTATTTATTAATGTTAACATTTTCATGATTGTAAATTTTAAAAATGTAACAATTTCATTTTATAGTGAAAATATCATCATCGTATTAAATATATTCGATATAT